TCATATGTTTGGGACTAATTGGTTAGGCTGCAGTTGCATTTTATTAATTGGCTGTTAGTCAGGGCAGGAAAGACAACTCAAGAGACAGTGGGACAGATAACCGAGGCAGTACAGTGGTACCTCAGGTTAAGTACTTAATTTGTTCCAGAAATCTGTTCTTAACTTGAAACTGTTCTTAACCTGAAGCACCACTTTAGCCAATGGGGCCTCCTGCTGCTGCTGCACCGCCAGAGCACGATTTCTGTTCTTATCCTGAAGCAAAGTTCTTAACCTGAAGCACTATTTCTGGGTTAGCAGTGTCTGTAACCTGAAGTGTATGTAACTGTGGTGGGGGGGATGAAAGTGGTGGTGGGGGGATGAGTGTTCAGACCCCTGGGCTCTCACTTGTGGGGTGCCTCAGGGTTCTGTCCTCTCCCCCATGCTTTTCAACATCTACATGCAGCCGCTGGGAGAGATCATCAGGGGGTTTGGGCTGAGTGTTCATCAGTATGCGGATGATACCCAGCTCTTAATTTGTTCCAGAAATCTGTTCTTAACTTGAAACTGTTCTTAACCTGAAGCAACACTTTAGCCAATGGGGCCTCCTGCTGCCGCTGCGCCGCCAGAGCACGATTTCTGTTCTTATCCTGAAGCAAAGTTCTTAACCTGAAGCACTGTTTCTGGGTTAGCCGTGTCTGTAACCTGAAGCGTATGTAACTGTATTGGGTGAATGGAAATCTTGGTCCATCTTGAGGACTGGAGAAATACCAACTAAAGAACAATGGCAAGAGAGGTTGATGAACTATGCAGAACTGGCAAAAATGACAGATAGACTAAGAGAAAAAGACAACAGAGACTTCGAAAAAGATTGGGAACCTTTCATATTATATTTGCAGAAACAAAGAAAGTCAATAGACTTGATGGCAAGATTTAAATAAACATTCACATTATTACCATTAGAAAATGTTTAGAAGATAGTGAAATATGATGGTGTATTTCCTGTTATTTTTATGTCTTTAGGCTTGAAGTTACGTAATTAATAATTTAATAATTAAATTAATAATTTTTTTCTGTTAAGAGATAGCAAAATGGGTGAAAATAGAGACAAATCAGAAGCGGAAGTTGGGGGAAGCCTTGGAGGGGAGGGAGGGAGGAATATATAGTAAATGTTAAGAATTTGAGGTGTATGTAATGAATGAAAAAGAAAAAATAATTCAATTTTTTTTTTAAAAAAGAAGGGAAACCTTGGTCCACCTTATGCCGTCTTTCAGTGAGTCACTGAATGTGCACTTGAGGCTTGGCATGCATGTGAGGTGAGCACCAAGCCCACTGGGCCACTGGGTGCTTCTCAAGTCACATGCCCAAGGTTCTCGGAAGGAGGAGGAAGAATTCCTTCCAAACCAGCTCCCTTTGACAGGGAGGTGGGGAGAGAGAAAGGGCTGGCTTGGGAGAGAGAGAGACAGAGAGAGAGTTGCTTTGCAGGGGGGCTAGCTGGCGGGGGAGAGAGCTGCTTAAGGGGAGTGGGGGGTGGCTTGGGGGATACAGAGAACTGCTTTAGCGGGAGAGAGAGAAAGGGCTGGCTTGGGGAGGGGCAGGCCCAGACGTGGGGGGGGGGCATATGGGCCACTTGGGCCGGGCCTCCGATTCCAAAGGGGGCCTCGGTCAGCATATTTATCTTGTTTTCCATTTTGTCTTTATATGCAGATATGGTTCAAGCCTTGAAATAAAATTATTTGTCAGCATAACTTTTGTGAAAATTATTTATATACTTATCTATAAGACTTCAGTTACCCCAGGGTAAAAAAAAAAAGTGGGCCACATTATCTACCTGGCCTGGGCCTCTGCCTGGCTCCACAAGGCTCTGGGGAGGGAGAGAGAGAAGCTGACTCGCTCCTCAGAGCAAGAACTTTTGCCTCCTTCCCCACCCCTTAAATTCCCCCCTCCCATGTCCAGTTAGTCACCTCCTTCCACACACAGACACATACACACACTCACCTTTTGCGTGCTCCTCCTCCCTCCAATGACAATGGGTAGATCACTGCCAATTTTTATACTGCGTAGATGGCAGCCAATTTGAAGTTGGATATGCCTGTTCTAGTGCAATAGTGATGTTTCTCTATTAAGCAAAAAATTGGCAGAGCTGTGGAGGAGGAAAGAGAGAGCACTGGGAAATTTAATATGTCCATTTTTCTCCCATTTTATTGTACTCAAACAGCTCCCCTTTCCATTCCTCAGGTACTATGTGTACTCATGGTACTAGGTGTTGCAATCAACATCAAGTGTCCTTTTCTACGTGGTACATTAAAACATATATTATATAAGAACTTCCATCATATATGTATGCAGATTGGGACCTTAGTATACATCTGTTTAAATCTGTTTTCCTCTCAATGTAGCTCTTCAAATGAACCTCAGTTTCTGCACAATTCTAAATGTGAGCAGGGAAAATGTCGGCTTGATGTTTAAAAACATTTGGCATAATTCATGAATTTCTTAGAAGAGCTTGTTCATCTGTGAATAAGGCTCTCCTGGGTTTCAGGAGGAAATGATGGAAATCTTAATGTACTGATTTCAGTTTGGTTAAAGCCACATCCTGACAAATGCTGGCTCAGGGTGGTGCTTTTATCCTCCAGTAAACAGCACAGAGTGGCCATTGTTGATGGCAGGAGTGGTCTGTACTCTACTTCCTTAAACATTTCCCTCTTCCATTCCTCAGGAGTCTCATATGAGAGAGAGAAAAGCTGTGGAACCCGCAAATACAATACAATACGATAATCTTTACTGTCATTGTCCCATACAGAACAATGAAAAAATCTACATCAGACATTCAAAAACCCACAAGCCTGCTATCCCAGCTATCCCAGCCTGGTTAGCCCCTAAAACGCTGATACCCCATAATTGGATACAATATACTCACATAAAGGCTACCTCACACGACGTTTAAAACCAAAATCACATTTGGATAGAAACTGTTTCTCAGGCGGCTAGTCCTAGTCTTTAAAAGGCAGAAGCTGAAAGAGATCATTTCTGGAGTGCGCACTATCCTGCACTATCTCTGCAGCTTTCTTATGGCACCTGGAAGCATAGATTTGATCCAAGGTGGGAAGAGTGCACCCAATTATTCTCTCCACAGTCTTTACAACCCTGGACAACATTGTTTTCCCCCGACCATGCAGCTCCCAAACCACACACACAGACCATAAGTTAATACACTCTCAACAGTACAATGGTAAAATGCCATCAACAGGTCCTTTGAGAGATTATTTTTCCAGAAGATTCTCATAAAATATAACCTCTGCTGTGCTCTCTCCATCAAGTCTTTGCTGTTTCCTCCCCAGGTTAGGTCATCTCTCAACTCCATTCCCAGAAATCGAAACACCGAAACCTGTTCCACACACTTCCCCTCAATAATAAGTTGCTGAATATTCAATTTACATATTCTAAACTCCACAATAATCTCATTTGTTTTCTTTGTTTTCTTTAAGTTAAGGAGTATCATCATAGCACCTCCACATTACATTTTCCCACTTGTGTCACCATGTGTTTCCCCATGAAAGCTTTAGAAATCAAACTACTTTACAATTGATTTTACACTGGAGTGAAATCACACTTTAGTTCAAGGTTTTTGCAATCTCCGGAGTGATGAAATGAAGGACATCTCCCTTTAATCCCTACTCAATGACAATTCACTTTGAACTTCGCTGGCGAAACTCCCCATACTCTGGGGGCTAGGTTTTCCTAAATCCCACTGTTTAACTACAGCTCATTGGAACTGGATGCAGTTGAATTACTGAACCACCACATATTTGTGTTTTTCAAACCATGAAGTCGTGATCTTATCGGCTGGCGCAGCATCAGATACAAACCAGGTAGGTGTCCTTACCCAATTGGCTGCTGCAGCAAAAGGTAGAAGCAAGCCAGGGATATAAATGGAAGGTAACCTAAGGAGAAGAGAGCTTACTCTACAAGCAAGAGGGAAGAGCAAACATCTCAGCCCAAAGGAGCAAGTGTCAAAGTAATAAGCGTCACTACAGGACGTTTTGGGGAAAGCCCAGGTATGTATAAAAAGGATCTGAGAAAACTTTGTTAATAATTCACCATCCATAAGGGGCAGTGAAAGCTAGCTGAATGAGTGTGAAGGGGAGACGTACAGGTTAACATCAGGCCACTTGCCCCCCTTGCAGAAGTTTCTGATTCTAAAAGGCTGCTGTTCTGGGAGCACTAGGCCCTGGTGAGGCTGTATACCCCCTGCCTGAGTGGCTGAAGCAGCTCAGGACACTCCCCAAACTAGGACACCTTTCATTAGTACGTACTGGGGAAGGGAGAATGCAAGGCAAGCCTGCTGAGGATGTTGGGCAGCATCACTGGCAAGGATGATGAGCGAGAGGAAGCCCCAGGCAGTCAAAGCAAGTTATGCAGATGTGTGAAGGGACAATAAGTAATACCCATTTACTGAATCATTTGATCAAAGTAATTCTGACCAATAAGGGCACAGTAAGCTCCCAATGTCTGAGGGATCCAAATCCTGGCATAACGTACAACTCAGAACATACAACTAGAGTAGGAAGCCTATAGAAAAGAGCTAGTGTTGTGGAAAACTAGGCCACAGTCAACAAATGAGAATGACACATTCCCAATAAATGTTACCTTAGAACAAAAAGAATTCCTTTGAGTAGGTTTCCATAGAAGAGTGCTAATGTGTGCTAAAGAGAGCCAGTGTGGTGTAGTGGTTAAGAGCGGTAGTCTCGTAATCTGGGAAACCGGGTACATGTCTCCGTTCCTCCACATGCAGCTGCTGGGTGACCTTGGGCTAGTCACACTTCTTTGAAGTCTCTCAGCCCCACTCACCTCACAGAGTGTTTGTTGTGGGGGAGGAAGGGAAAGGAGAATGTTAGCCGCTTCGAGACTCCTTAAAGGGAGTGAAAGGCGGGATATCAAATCCAAACTCTTCCTCTTCTTCTTCTTCTAATATATGCTGGTGTTTTGTGTGTGTCTGTGTGTTTAGGAAATCTCAGATTGCAATGAAACTCGCCATCCATTTCTCCTTGTTACTGATTGTCCTTCAAGCCCACAATGGTCATGGAGATAAAGATCCACTTCAAGAAAAGCTAGCTTCCAGCATTGCTGACTTTGCATTTAAATTCTCCAGACAAGTAGCTTCACTCCAGGGTGGCAAAAATATCTTCTTCTCTCCTCTGAGTATCTCCATGGCGTTTTCAATGATTGGCATGGGTGCTAAATCCAACACCCAAAATCAAATTTACGAAGGACTTGGATTGACATCAATTGACACAAGCAAGGTCCATAAAGAATTTGAACAGCTCATTCAGATGCTGAACAGTCCTGGAGCTAAGATGGACATAGGAAATGCCATGTGGATAAAACAGTCACATCAAATTCTTCCTAAGTTTTCAGAGGATGTCAAAAGTTTGTACAAAACAGAGAGCTTTAACTTTGAACAATCCTCAGAGGCTGCAGAGCAGATAAATGATTACGTGGCAAAGAAAACTCATGGGAAAATTACTAAAGCAGTTGAAGGCTTAGATCCAAAAACCATCATGGTTCTTGTGAACTATATCTACTTCAAAGGTATGTTAAAGAAAGATAAGTTACAAATATTTAATGCTTTGTATTGTTCAATCTGCTAAAACTGGAAGGAATAACTTATCCCTTCAAAACAAAAGCATTTCTACAGTGAAACCAACAATTTAGTTGAATGTTCTAAAACATACAGCATTTAATGCAGAATTAGAGAAAGACAGGTGTTGAGGCTGAAGTGGCTAACCTGAAGGATTCCAGATGTTCTTGGGCTACATCTCCCACCATCCCTGACGATTGGCCATGCTGGCTGATACTGATGGTGGTGAAGTCCAGCAACATCAAGATCCCTGCCCCTGGATGCTTCTAAAACACACAGGAAGCAGTTCCACTTGACTCAGTCCACATTTTGGCCTGCGGGACCCCACTCTTCCCATTTCTTGCTGTCTTCTGAAACATCAATAGCAGGTTGACTTACCCTTGGCAATCCTTCTCCTTTGTCTGCACTCTCCTGATTCAACATACTGCTTTCATACCCATAGTTGAAGGTTCATTCTCTAGCAGGCAGCTGATCCAGTTCTGATCCAGTTCTGCTGGATCTCTCAGCGGCTTTTGATACCATCAACCCTTACATCCTTCTTGACCGTCTTGAGGGGCTAGGAGCTGGGGATACTGTTATACAGTGGTTCCACTCCTTTCCCCTGGGTTCTTCTCGACATGGGTCCAGAAAGTGGGGGGGGGTGAGTGTTCAGACCCCTGGGCTCTCACTTGTGGCTCAGGGGTCTGTCCTCTCCCCCATGCTTTTTAACATCTACATGCAGCCGCTGGGAGAGAACATCAGGGGTTTGGATTGGGTGTTCATCAATATGCGGATGATACCCAGCTCTACCTCTCTTGTAAATCAGAACCAGTGAAGACAGTGAAGGCCCTGTATGAGTATCTGCAGGGGGTGGGAGGATGGATGGCAGCTTATGGATTGAGGTTGAATCCTGACAAGACAGAAGTACTTTTCTTGGGGGACAGGGGGCGAGCTGGTGTGGAGGACACCCTGATCCTGCTTGGTGTAACTGTGCCCCTGAAGGACCAGGTGCGCAGCCTGGAAGTCATTTTGTACTCACATCTGTCCATGGAGGCGCAGGTTAATTCTGTGTCCAGGGCATCTGTTTACCTGCTCCATCTGGTACGCAGGCTGAGAACCTACCTGCCTGCAGAGTGTCTTGCCAGAGTGGTGCATGCTCTAGTTATCTCCCACTTGGACTACTGCACTCTACATGCGGCTTGAAGGTGACTTGGAAACTACAAGTAATCCAGAATGCGGCAGCTAGACTGGTGACTGGGAGTTGCCGCCGAGACCACATAACACCACTCTTGAAAGACCTACATTGGCTCCCAGTACATCTCCAAGCACAATTCAAATGTTGGTGCTGACCTTTAAAGCCCCCTAAACAGCCTCGGTCCTGTATACCTGAAAGAGCATCTCCACCCCCATCGTTCAGCCCGGACACTGGGGTCCAGCGCCGGGGGCTTCTGGCGGTTCCCTCATTGTGAGAAGTGAGGTTACAGGGAACCAGACAGAGGGCCTTCTCGGTAGTGGCACCTGCCCTGTGGAATGCCCTCCCAGCAGATGTCAAGGCAATAAACAACTATTTTACTTTTAAAAGACAAACGAATGCGGCCCTGTTTAGGGACATTTTTAATGTCTGACTCTGTATTGTTTTTAATATGCGGTTGGAAACTCAGCCAGATGGGCGGGGTATTAATAAATTATTATTATTATTATTATTATTATTATTATTATTATTATTATTCCTCTTCTTCTTCTTTTTCCTCTTAGATGACTGGAAATATCCCTTTAACCCTAAATTAACCCATAAAAATTTTTTTTTTATTGACGAAAGACAAACTGTGAAAGTTGACATGATGAAAAACACGGAGCATTACAGATATTTCCACGATGAAGCTCTGTCATGCTGGGTAGTTGAACTTCCTCACAAAGGAGGTGCTGCTGCCTGGTTCATTCTGCCTGATGAAGGCAAACTGAAGGAAGTGGAGGATGCTATGGGGGAGGAAACTTTGTCCAAATGGAGAAGATCTTTAAAAAGGGGGTAAGGCTTTTCTCTGCTGTTTCTAAATGTCTCTGTAGTAGTTAGTATTTATTAGAGTTTGGAATGAAGGCATCTATTTTAAAACTGTAAAATGCCTCTATTTAAGGGTATGAAGGTCTGACACTGCAAATGCAGTTTATTGCTGAGTGTTATAAAACTCTTCATCGCTGATGATTTAATGTTCTGATTCTCGTTTAGGAAAGAAATTGATCTGTTCCTTCCAAAATTCTCGATGTCTGCATCCTATAATCTCAACAATGTGCTGTCTAGGCTGGGCATTACTGATGTGTTTAGCGGCAATGCTGATCTATCTGGAATTACTGGAAGTAGCGACCTGACGATTACCAAAGTACGTGTGTAAATATCATGCTTTGGGTATTTTATGGTATGAGATCAGACTTTTAAAAGTAACTGACAAATTTACTTCGAAGCATTAAGAATCAGCCCCTGGACCTTTCCACCTTCTCTTCCAGTCTCTGTAGCAAGAAGACTGTGCCTGATCATTCCTTATCAGGAGACTCTTTGCCTCCTTCCATAGTAACCAAGTACATAGGGTCGTAGGCAATGTTAGTACCACTCAGAGATGACCCAGTCAGAATAATTTTATTTATTTATTTATTTATTTATTTATTTAGTTAGTTAGTTAGTTCCCATTCTTCACTCTAAGGTGCCAGGGTGAGTTACAACATTAAAACACAACATTAAAAATAGTTTGAAAACTACCTACAATCATAAAAACAAGGAGGGTCGTAGAATTGTAGAACTGTAGAGTTGTAAGAGAGCCCTAGGGTCATCTAGTCCAACCCCCTGCAATGCAGGAATCTCAGCCAAAGCATCCATGATTGATGGCCATCCAACCTCTGCTTAAAAGCCTCGAAGGTATGAGAGTCCAGCACCTCCTTTGATCTGGATATTATACTGGAATGGACTTCCTTGGAGCATCTTAAGCAGAGGTTGGATGGCCACCTGTCATGGATGTTTTAGTTGAGATTCCTGCATTGCAGGGGGTTGGCCTAGATGCCCCTTCTAAGTCTACCATTCTATGAGTCTATGAATTATTCTGGGACCTTTACTGGTGGCAACTGCATGCACACAGACTTAATTGCATTGCATGTGAGAATTTTGCTTGGGTTAGGGAAATGCTGCACTAAGTTCCAACACATCTGAAAGACGAATCAGAACCCAGTGTTGTGGAGAAAATCAAAATAAAGCAGCTAATCAAAAGACAGTCCAGACTGGAAGTTCTTTAAGACAGGCAGAAACCAGTCACTCCATTCTTCTGTGCATATTTACAGGCAGCGCTTGTGGCCTTGGAACAAAGGTTCGGAAGGAATTCTTCCTCCTCATTCCGAGAACCTTGGCCATGTGACTCCTGCAGGGCTCCCCACGCTGTGGATGTCTGGGGCGGGGCGCTCTGCTTGAGGGCGCCCCGCCCGCCGGGTGGCAGGCTGCTATCCGTAGGCTGCTATCCGCAGCATAAGGTGGACCAAGGTTTCCCTTCTTTTTTAAAAGAAAATTAAATTATTTTTTCTTTTTCATTCATTACATACATCTCAAATTCTTAACATTTACTATATATTCCTCCCTCCCTCCCCTCCAAGGCTTCCCTCAACTTCCGCTTCTGGTTTGTTTCTACTTTCACCCACTTTGCTATCTCTTAACAGAAAAAGTTATTAATTACGTAACTTCAAGCCTAAAGACATGAAAATAACAGGAAATACACCATCATATTTCACTATCTTCTAAATATTTTCTAATGCTAATAATATGAATGTTTATTTAAATCCTGCCATCAAGCCTACTGACTTTCTTTGTTTCTGCAAATATAATATGAATGGTTCCCAATCTTTTTCGAAGTCTCTGTTGCCTTTTTCTCTTAGTCTATCTGTCATTTTTGCCAGTTCTGCATAGTTCATCAACTTCTCTTGCCATTGTTCTTTAGTTGGTATTTCTCCAGTCCTCAAGATGGATCAAGATTTCCCTTCACCCAGTACTGCCTCGGTTATCTGCCCCACTGTCTCTTGAGTTGTCTTTCCTGCCCTGACTAACAGCCAATTAATAAAATGCAACTGCAGCCTAACCAATTAGTCCCAAACATATGAAATTCTGTAGAGGGGAAAAAAGGAGTCATGAAGCAAAATATTCCTCCTCAGCCCCCAAATAGGGAACTAACTCAACCCCATACCATGCAGGGACGGAAGGTGGGCACTCCAATGAAACGACTGGAGTGTTTCCACAGATTGAGGCTTCAAAGTAGCTTAGTGCTTGTGTGCATTTTTGTTTTTTGGGTTTTTTTCATTCTCTGTGTTTGTGTGTTTATTTCCTTGTTTGTGTTTTGATGGTGGGGGAAACACTGGGAAATGATTGTTGGAATGAGGATAGGAGGATTGTAAATGTGTTTCACTTTTCATCTGTGATATGTTGCAGGCTGTGATGGTTTCCAAAAATATATCTTCCTTCCTTCCTGTGCAGGCTACTCACGAGGCTGTCCTGGATATACATGAAGAAGGTAGTGAGGCAGCAGCAGTGACCACTGCACAGATTGGTTTCAAATCTCTAGGACCCCCCTCCGTTCCTATTGAACTCATATTTGACAAGCCATTCTTTCTCACCATATTGGCACCAAATGATGGACCCATGCTTTTCTTTGGGAAAGTAGTGAACCCTGCTCGAAAATGAACATTAGGTGGACCATTCAGAAGCTTCCAATTACCAGCCATCTTAGTGATGAAAGAGGACTTTCCCCCTTTCTTTGATAGAAGAAAGCAGCATAACCAGTAGTTGTTTTTAAGGACAACTATGACATCGACAGCAAACTGTGTGTACAATAAAGATAATTTTAAAACATGTCTCTATTTCATTTTTTAATATAATTTTTATGAAATTTTCTTTTTTGCAATTAATAATATTCATTTAAACAACCTTAAAATATCAATGACTTCCCTTCTTCTCTTTCCATGGTTTGTTTTGCACAACATAAATCCCTGCATATTTTACATAAATTAAACCATTCAGTATTCCATTATTACATCCATCACAACTTATTTACACTGTTGAATTTATCTTAATGCTGGCAACGTTTTCAAGTGTACACAACCCCCCCCCATATATTCAAGTGTACACAATTCCCTCCCATATATTCAATAAACATTTTCCAATCTTTTTTAAACAGCTGTCCATGGAGGCACTGGTCAGTTCTGTGTCCAGGGCAGCTGTTTACCAGCTCCATCTGGTATGCAGACTGAGACCCTACCTGCCCGTGGACTGTCTCGCCAGAGTGCTGCATGCTCTAGTTATCTCCTGCTTGGACTACTTCAATGTGCTCTACATGGGGCTACCTTTGAAGGTGACCCGGAAACTACAACTAATCCAGAATGTGGTAGCTAGACTGGTGACTGGGAGTGGTTGCTGAGACCACATAACAATGGTCTTGAAAGACCTACATTAGCTCCCAGTACGTTTCTGAGCACAATTCAAAGTGTTGGTGCTGACCTTTAAAGCCCTAAATGGGCTCAGTCCAGTGTACCTGAAGGAGCATCTCCACCCCCATCGTTCTGCCCAGACACTGAGGTCTAGCGCCGATGGCCTTCTGGCGGTTCCCTCACTACGAGAAGCCAAGTTACAGGGAACCAGGCAGAGGGCCTTCTCGGTAGTGGCACCCGCCCTGTGGAACGCCCTCCCGCCAGATGTCAAAGAGAACAACTACCACCAGACTTTTAGAAGACATCTGAAGGCAGCCCTCTTTAGGGAAGCTTTTAATGTTTAACAGACTATTGTATTTTAATACTTTGTTGGAAGCCACCCAAAGTGGCTGGGGAAACCCAGCCAGATGGGTGGGGTATAAATAATATATTATTATTATTATTATTATTATTATTATTATTATTATTATTATTATTATTTCTTGTGAGGGATGATGCTGGTTACAAGACGGCAAAAAAGGAGATTGGAACAGGCTAAGCAGAGGAAGATCTTAAACTGCTTTACTCCTGTTAAGACACATTCAAACCAGGAAAGCACTGCTCCTACTCTGCAAGGAGCATCTCTCCATCTTGAAACTGATGTAGGACAGGCTCCCACAGGAACACTGTCCAGACTTAATCTATGGATATGTGCAGGAGCTGTGTCTTTCTCCCTCTCTTGTCAATATTGAACATGCGTACTTTGCTGAAGGTCCTGGGGCACCAAATGGCAGTGCAAGAAATACTAAATCATGAAAATACAAAAGTCCTTTAAAAGTTTTTTTAAAAAAAACAACAACATAAAAGTAGAGTTGGAAGGGATCCTGAGGGTCATCTAGTCCAACCTCCCGAAATGCAGGAATCTCAACTAGATGATACATGACAGATGGTCATCCGAACTCTGCTTAAAATCCTCTGAGGAAGGAGAGTCCACCAGAATGGGCTTTAATAGCCCCACAGTTCTGCCAATGTTATTTGAGTACTTTCGCTTACAATCATATGGGTGGGGACAGGGGCGTAGGAAGGGAGGCAGCTTGCCCCAGGTGCCATCATGGAGGGGGGGGTGACAAATTATCAAGGAACAATTACTGCCCTACTAGGGCAGTTCATAAAAAACTTTTTTGAAAATGCCTGCTCCAAAGGTCTTATCTTACTACACTGGGGATTATATGAAATTTCATGCATATCATTTAATATCTTGACCCCCCTCCATGAAAATAGCTGTTTACTTGGCCGTTTTCCCATGTCGTGAAGGCTGAAATTTCAATTCAGTGGAGCAGGGTCAAGATATTAAATGATATGTTTTTTGTTTTGGTAAACCACTTTGCAGGTTTTTTAAAAATAAATTTTATTAAATAAATAAACAATAAATATAAATAAAATAACACAAGCCAAAACACAATCCATCCTGTAGATTTAGGTATCTGTCCACAGTCACCTATTTGTTATCCGGGGCCCAGAAGCCACATTTATATATCAATGGGGGGGTGACAAGAAATATTCTGCACCGGGTACCACCTGACCTTCCTACACTTCTGGGTGGGGATCACATTTCCCTGTGCCCTCCCCCCATTCCTCCTGGGGTTTGTGTTTCCCTGAGTCTGCCCATCTGCCTTTTTGTCCTAGAATCCACTAGGGACACTTACAAGGGGTAGGGTTTCCTGACCACAATACAAACAATGCAACTCCATGCATTTATCTTGCAACAATCCGGTCACAAAACCCAAGCTCTGATTAAAGATGGAGAGAGAAATTCAAAGCATATTCACTTTCCTTACTGTACAGCAGCATGCTGTTCCAAATCACCCTGAAAGAGTGGTCCTTGATCTCTGAGAGACCCAGTCCTTGCTGTCAGAAAGGGAATGGCCCCCTTCAGTTCAATTACACCTAAAGGAAGCAACCCACTGATTTCTTCTAGCAGTGGAGGAGAGTGCAGCTAGCCATAAACAAGAGAAGCAGAGAGACAGAGTGAAAATGGGAGCCTTCAGATCCAATCTGCAAGGTCCTACTTTTGAAGCTTGGTCAGAGAATAGACTCACTCACACAGCAAGCCACTTACATTCCTCCCTTCCAACTCACCATCGGTGGATTTCTGGACATCCTGCTGGGTTCTAGCTGGGCTTGTCCTGGGAAAACCTCTTTTCCACCAAGACCACTGAACCACCTGTGGATTTTCATCCACAAACACTCAATTTTGTGTTGTGCACTGATGAAATCCTTATCCAGGTCCCATTCAGATGGCCTTGAGTGACCTGGGTCCCCATACAGGCCACCAGCTGTGGTAAGAATTCACCTCTACACCACCTTGTTCATCATTACCCAGGTGAGGAACTTTTGAATAAACCACAGAACCAAGGAAACTGTTTTCAAGTCCAGCATCCAGATTTATGAACCCAGCGTTTCTTGTAGCTATTGTAATAGGACAGAGCTCACTCAACTCAACGTGCCAGTTGAGAAGCTCTGCCCTGAGGAACTTCAGAATAAAAGCTTATATTGCACTTCCAGCACAGCAAACAAAGTCATACAACATCTTCACATATGCCAGGATAGGTTACATGTCATGAGAAGTAAAGCACACATGGCTCCATACTGGGAACTTCACCCCCACACCTTAAGAAGTAGATTCTTCCTAATCACAGATATTTTATCTAGCCACATCAAGTGGTAGCAATGCTCAGCATTCTAAAGATGTTGATGTCTCATTTAATGAACTTTTATGACAACAAAAAAAGACAGCAATATTTAATAACAAGCTAATCACGCCCTAAGATTTATCATATATTCTTTTATTGTATTGTCTCAAGTCAATGTACGTGAAATTAAATCTAATCTGGCATTATCTGGTTATCTATTTATTTTGCAGCCGGGAATTAAGTGGAACTGTTGCCTAAACAGCTGAAATAGTGCTGGAATGTAATTCACAAGTTTCAACAACATGACAGCTGCATCATCAGCAGGAAGGGAGAACATTTTGTATAGGTGCCTTGTTTAATGGTTTGAAATGCATCACACATTCGCAATAGCAGCTGAGGCTCCCCTCTTTGTCGATAAAGCCTTAGGGAGCCTTCATTTTTAACACGTTGGCATTTCTCTAAGATTCAGCGATTTACTTTCTATGTTCCTTTTGAAGGCATAAATCACATTACAGATCTGAAATAGCAAATGGATGTTCCCTTGGTGTGTCATGCTTAAAGTGGGTTCACTATTTTCCCCATGAAAAGCATTACCCAGTCCTCTGGTGCCCACATGAAGAAAAAGAACGGCCTGTCAAATTTGAGTAGAACAGAACTTGGGGCATTGGGTCCTTTCTTGTCACTTCCAAAGCTGACTGCAGCTGCCTCCGTCCCTCTTTCATTAACATCCAAAACAGCCTTGTGAGAAGCCTGCACAGGAGGGAAACCATTGCAGCCTCCAACAGAACCACAGGTGAAGAGAGAGCCACTGATTTTTAAAATTGCGCAGTTATTTCTGCTCTTACACTAATGCATGCATTTACATACGTGTGCATATTGGCAAATATGCACACATATGTAAAATATGTACGATATAACATTGTGCCACCAGATGGCGATGTGGAGTCCTGTTTTTCTCTACCTGTTTTCCCTGCTTAAATTTACAATGCTTTAAACTTCGTCACTTTTTTGATGTGTCTAGATCCAGCCTAGGAGTTTTACTGATGGCAACTGCATGCACACAGACAAAACTGCAGGACACCAGGTCCAGAGCCTGTGAGGAGGGAGTGGCATCAGCATGGATGTTGAAGTCCCCCAATACCAATAGGTTAGGGAACTCCAAGGCCCAGCCGGCCACCGCCTCCAGTAGGCCTGACAGGGTGGCTGCTGGTGCGCTAGGTGGCCGGTACACCAGCCAGACAGTCAAGCTCTCCTCGGAGCCCCACACTAGGCCAACACATTCAATGCCAGGGATCGATGGCAATGGGAGAGCCCTGAAATGACAATCTTCCCAGATTAATAATGCCACCCCCCCCGGCCCACAGTCCGCGACTGGTGGAGGACGGAGAAACCCGGGGGTGCCATCTCTTGTAAGGTAACTGTGTCCCCTTTGCGCACCCAGGTCTCTGTCATACAAGCCAGGTCGACCCCCTGCGAGATAAAGAAATCTAGCAGGGTGGCGGTTTTGTTGCCTATAGACCTGGTATTGCACAGCACCAGTGACGGAGGTGAGTAATCCTTGCTCACCCTACCCTCGTCCCTCGGG